TACGAATCTTAATTAATTTTTGACCATCCAACACATTAAATAATTTTTCAGAAAATTCACAGAGAGCATTCTAAACTTTATATATCTTAATAATAAGAACTGTTATAAAACTGCAGGCATACACATACACACACATAATAATATTTCTGAAATCCGATTACATACACACACACACACACATAGATGTAAATATTAGAATTTTTCGGAGCATATAGTCTATAAAATTTCATATTAATTAAAGCAAATTTCTCATTAAAAAGAAATAGTAATAAAAATTGATTTATTGTTAGCAATGAGAGTTAATGAACGTGGATGTAAACACGGTAATACATACTGACAATGAATAAGGAAGTAATTTAAGGACTAGTGTATCAGAATATATAATTTAATTCGCGTAAACCGCACTAGTGTAATCCAGAAAGCTTATGACTATGTATAATATGCGCTTGCGTACGAACAGCGTATACATGATTTATTTATTCATCTACAATTAACTAACCGTCATTATACACGCTTTGTATTCGAATAGTAATTTAATTTGCAATTCTTATAAGAAAATTATCAGACTGCTTGTTACAATCGATAATATAGATAAAATAAATTATTCAGATTACATATATAGCGAGTCAATTAACCCAATACTAAACATTGTAACTACTTGTTATTATTTAATTATTTTACGTAATACAAAAATATAGATATTTATTTAATCTATACTTTTTGTTAAAAAGTTTTGTCAACAGTAAAATTGATGCGCAAAATGCATCAAACTAAATCATATCTAAAATTTATATCTTGGCTATATTTAATTATTATTATTCTTCGTAATTATAAGATCTAGTTGCCAATTCAGTTGTCTTTGAAACAACTGGGTTTTCCAAGAAAATGTTGGCTCGACATAAAATTCAATATACTAATTTATTAGAAACACACATAGCCTAAATACCTTCGCGTAATGTACCAATCCGGGAGAATGAAACCATAATGTAGAGAATTAGCGAGTAATCCATAATTCTTTTTGCCCATCCCTTTACAAGTCATTTCAGTACGCGAAGAATTTAGCATGGGTCAATTAATTCAGCGCTAACAGTTTTAAAGAGATGTACATGTACTGTATAAAAAATCAGCCGCTTTTCTCACTGCAATAGACTCTTTGACGAATTTTTATTACTATTATATTAATATTTTTGCTAATAATTTAAATTATTGATATATATAAAGGCAATTAAGTTTAAACTAAAAAAAAGTAAAAAATTAAAATATATTTTATAAATTGACGTTCAAATGTATTGCTTATGAAATAATATACTTCTTTTTTAAGTTTTAAATATATTTTTTTTTTAATATATACAAACACAACCAAAGTTTTAAAATATTGGCAACATAAAATTAATTCATAAATTCATTAATATTCCACATCTTAGATATGAAAAGCAGAGGCTTTATAAACTGGATTAAGCATGAACGACTTAATTGTATCGCGAACAATGAAAACATGTGCTTCACTTAACAAACACAGCATGTACATGTAAAACGACAAATCGTTTACAATACGAAGTTTGCGCTCGCTTCGGCTGTCCATTATAAACTACAGCCAGTGCGAACGACGTGGACAGGAACTTAATGCAAAATAAACCGGTTTTCTTCGCCGAACTTTGCGCACGGTAAATGGCCAAGTATTCATTTCAATTATCATCCGAATTTATTTCTGCTATCGCTGCATCTGACGTCAGTCCTCATTACCAAAAGTTACTTTTATACTTAATCTTTAAGTTCGACATATATATCCCGTTTTTACAATAAGAACAAATTAAAGATTGAGATAAAAGAGTGAATCTTAAAATATGGATTAATACAAAGAGATTGCTTATAGGTATCAAGAAAACAAGTACAGTTGTGCAAATTAAAAACTTGCACATTGCTTCCTCATCATTTTATCTTACAATGCTTAAGCTGCTTTAAGCATGCGGATTTTTCAATTTTTGCTTCCTCATAGAGAAAGCTTTGTGAGCGAAATAAAAATTAAACATTTTTTAGGAATATGATTTTTCGACGTTTTGGAACATTCTAAACATATTGGCATAGAAAACTCGAAAAAAAATTTTGTCACGAAAACAAAGCTTCCTCTATGAGGAAGCAACATATTTTCTGATGTAATAATTAAAAATTCAAATATACGAATTTGTATTACTAGTGATTTTTTCATTAATGGATTTACTTCTTGTACATTTCACAATTTTGCGGAAATATTTTATAGAATATACATCATAAAAAAAGAGATAATAATATTATAACATCATAATAAAAAAATTTAAATTTAAATGCAATTTTTAAAGCAATAAGGCATTGCACTTTTTTGTGAACTTACCAGTTGTTTTTAATACATTTCTCCGTAAAATATTCCATATCATCGCAAATAGATATAAGAAAGCAAATTTTTATAATATATAAATATATTCACTCACCACTGCATAATATATTCACTTTATCGCTTTTATTGCACTCTGTCAGCATCTCCTGAAAAAGATTAAATATTATATAATTAACACACACACGCCCTTCTTTTCCTTATTAAATTTGATGGTTTAATTTATATGTAATATTTTTTGTTATATTTAAGGAAAAAAATAAGATGAACAATATAAAGCATAAATAATAGTTTAAGTTATACAAATATTTTAAGTTAACAAATATATTTAATAGAATATAAATATTTTGCAGTAAAAACTAATTGGGAAACGTAGATAATAGCAATCATCCGGATTGATAATGCGATGTAATGATACTTTATTAATACGACACACTTCCAATATTTATTCATACGCACAAGTCTCGCTTTGTAAAGTGTGCAGAAATACGGAACATCGAACAACTTAGTTAGCCGATCGAGAGAAATTCCATATTAATTAACCATATTAATTAACGACAAAAGAGAAAGCTTGCTTCATTTAGCACACCCGATACTCTATCGTACTAGGCGCAAGTTGAAAAGTTGAAAATAAGAAGGGTAAATGCGCAAAAAAAAAACGGGTATATCTTTATTATGAGATTACATAATAGTTATCATATAACTGTAGCGGATTCTTTTTGTATAAAATTGACATATGACACAAAATATTCCACGAGATGCGAGAATCTCATTTAAAATACGAAAAAATATATGTATTTTTAAAATGCAAAGACATCACACAAAAAGAAATGCGATTAATCACAATTGCGAGTTGTCATAATCTGAACTCCGATAATTGCTTCATATCATTCGCATATTTACTCGTACATGCAATTTATGACTGAAAATGTGAAATATGTAATATCAAACAATGCGCTCATTTCTGATGATTGATAATTAAAGCTGCAATAATCATATCACGTTTTATTTGACATTACGCTTTATTTACGAGTTACGTATGAGAAATGTAGAATTTCGCTGATCAATTGTGATAGTCCGTAATAAAATTAATGGCATGACGAGCACGCGATATATATTACATTCTGATATTTTTTAATACTTACCGACTTCAGAAATTTGAAAAACATTGTTGGAGTATCGGATGAGACGACGTAGTTAATTACGATCATTCCAATTAACGTGGCAGGAGACAATCACGAGACATTTTTTTCTCGACGTCGCGTTACGTCGCGGCGGGAAACATGGCGACTGATACAAATATGCGATCGTAAATGAGCGATGACACCGATTTTGATCAAGAACGCGTCGATAGCACTGACGCCAATTAATACGATACAATGCTTTACTCGGCACTACTCATACTTGCTCGCGTATGTGCAAACCATTTGCAAACGGCTTCTAAAAACGATAAAGGAAAGATAAACGCGGAGCGGCAAATTATTTCGACCGATGCGGTTTCCTCAACTTGACGAATATAAACGTAACTGCGCATGCGTACACATTGGTAGCGCGTCCGAGTCATGTGACCGATATGAAAGTAACTAAATTCAATTTTCAGCTATTAATTCTCGAGAAAAATATGGTTCCAAATAAATATTTCGCAAACTGAAGCTTAAGAAATGGAATCGAAAATCGAAAATATGAAATATCCCTTTTTATATATGATATATAAGAAAGAATTCTGCGTTATATGATTATAAATTTTAATACATCTCGTCAATGTGCAAAAAAACTGCAAAATCAGGAAATGTGACAAGAGATCTACACAAAACAACATTACTGTTTCATATCCCTAATACAATACAATAAAAATTTGGTTGCTTTTTCGAAAAAGCAGTGCTCTCATTGGATATCGCTTATCGCTATCGCTATCGCCTAGCATTGGCCGCGTTCAGCAGAGAAAGCGCTCAGTTATCGTCTTGTCAACACTTGACGTTGATTCGTTGGTTCTAAAAGTAAGAACCAATCACATTCGATTGCTATTAAGCGGTTTTCTCTGCTGAACGCGGCCATTGTGCGATAGGCTTAAATCACCAAAGTTACAGTCATCATTCAAAGTAGCGACATCTTTAATTAATTTCGCGAGACTTGAGGCGACTAATGCAAATACAAGGGGTCTGTTCTTTATAACTGAATTGGCTGCACTAGTTCAGAGTGTATTCTTTTCTCTCCACATTGGAAGGAGAAAGATAAGCTCTGAATTAATTCAGCCAATTCAGTTATAAAGATCCAAAGATATGTTCGAAAATCTACTCGTTGGAATAGAGATACGTTTGATTGATCAATCAGGAGCAAAATTTGGTTTGTCCTGATTGGCCAATCGAACACTATTTTAGATATTGATGGGTAGATTTTCGAACACTCTTAGATTTCTCTCTCTCCCTCTGATAGGATGCGGTCGGAAAAATGCTAGAAATGCTTCGAAGCGTTTGATTGACCAATCAGGACAAAAAGAGTAAAGATTTCTCTATTCTGATTGGTTAATGCAATGCTTCGAAGCATCTCTAGCATCTTCTCGACCGCAGCCATAATCTGGGCCACGTTCGAGAACATCACCCGTGTGCATACGAGCGTCGTTCTATCTTTGTTCAACTTTCAGTAAATAACAAAGATAGAACGACGCTCGGTGCACATGGGTGATGTTCTCGAACGCAGCCCTGATGCCCTGATATTACATATGTCGTGTAATAGCTTGCCAAGATAATCGTCGCCACTCCTGTCATTTAGATTTCAAAGACTTTCGAAGAAAATTTTATTAGTATCGTCATGCCACGTCAAATTATGAGTTCGAATATCAATTCTTGCACTGAAAATAAGTGCCGTGCGTGTATGAAGGAAGGTGGCAAAATGTTGCCCATGTACGACAAAACTACCAGCAAGATTAATTTATCATATAAACTCGCGGAACTCACATCTATTCAGGTAAATAGGTTGTTTTTAGTATCAGTTTTTGTTTTAGAATATAGCGCAGTTTTACGATGTCGAATAAATTACGCGGGATAATAAAAAAGTACGCACTTAATCTCTATAAGTATTTTTAATAGGATTGTAAAGCGAAAGTGGTTAACTATACATGACCCCTGTAAATGCAAATATAGCTGTTGAAATTTAATGTCGCGATATTATAATTCATAATTTGATATAAAATAAAATATTAAGTGATTGTTTTATGTCGCATATCCTGATTGAAAGTCGATAAAATTTAACATTCTTCACAAAAATTGGCTACTGAAAGGAAGAAATGTTTACATGGCTGCACAAATTTGCAACACATTGATAAGACTCTTTTTTTCAACAGATTGACAAGTTTGATGGACTGCCCAACATGCTCTGTTCTAAATGTGCTTACCGAACTTATGTTTTGTATAACTTTAGATTAAAAGTACAAGAGTCAGATAAGAAATTCAGGATGATACTCGAAAATCAAATGGTCTCTGTTAAGGTATAATAATAACGAATAATAGTTTAATATTAATTTGTAACTTTGCCTTTCTTCTTTTTTTCTTTTCTCCCTCTTTTTCTTTCTCCCTCCTTTCTTCTTTTTCTCTGTATATATGTTTAATGAATTAAAGTTGGAACAATTTTATAATAACAATAGATATTAAATAATTTATGTCATAAATAATAAAATCTAATTTCTTTTAACAGATAACAAATAAATTGTTTTTTGAGACAATATAAACTCTGAAAGACATATAAAGATCTTTTTTAAACATTTTGTGTCAAAAAAGAAATTTGGATTATGTTAATAGGATTTTATTAATCTTTTATGTTCTCAATTTTTGCAAGTGTTTATAGTTTCTGTTTTTTTTTTTTTTTCAGAAAGAACCATTAGATGATAAGGACAATGAAGATAGCATTGTACAAACAGATGAATCCTTAGAATTGAATATATCAAATGTTAAATCTATACACAATGTTGAGTTTTTGGAGAATCTAAAAATTGATGAGACAGTTAAGAGCGAGCAACAATATGAATCTCATATACCTCAGTTGCTCGAAAATGGCAATAAAGAAAATAATAATAATCTGCAATTGAATGAACTTTTTCATAATATTCTACAAGAAATTAGTGAGAATCAAAGCATGGATGCTCATATTGTAAAAACAGATATACCTGAGGAAATTTCGAAAATACTCGCGTCGCAGGATATTACAATAATGTACGTACCACATGATCATGACTCTGTGAATGAATCAATGTCTGAATCAATATTTGTAGAAAACATATTAGCATCTGATCAAAAGCAAGAAGAAATTGAAAATGTTAATAACACATTTGCTTCTGCAATGGAAATCTTAGATGAAGAAAAAGATGATTCAAGCAATGTACGCATTTCCAGTCCTGTGGAAACTAATGTGGAAGCTAAAAAAAGTAAACGGGTCTGTAGTGAACGTGTGGACGATGACATGCAGAGCAAAAATAAGCAATTCAACAAGAGTAATTCCAACATTGAACAATTTGCAAGAACGGAAGACAGTGATGAATCTGATTCTGATTATTTTATCGATGCTAAAGATAACATATTGGGGAGTGTGAACGATGCAATCGTACGGATAAGAGAAGTTAAACAGGAACATGGGATCGAATATCAATGCACATTGTGTCAGCAGAACTACGAGGAATTATCGTCTATGTTACTACACACCGTCGATAATCACGTCTCTAGCACTGGTCCATTCTTCTGTATGGTGTGCGAAAAGGATTGTGAGAGTCATCGGGAGTTGCGAGCGCATGTGAAAACGCACACTGGACGGGAACCGTATTCCTGCTTCATTTGCAGGAAGGGATATGCCAAGAAAAGATATTTGAAGAGGCATATGATGTGTCACCCCGACTTTCCGCGGCATCGTTGTTCAAAATGCGGTTGTCGCTTTAAAGCCAAGTCGGAGTTGGAGTCTCACATGAAGACACATAGTGTACCCTACTCTTGCGATCAGTGTCCACGTGTATTTAATCACAAAGGCAATTATAAGCGACATCTAGTCAGTCATTTGGATCCCCAAGGCCTTTACTTACCTAAGTATCCATGCAGATATTGTGGCAAGCGCTTTCCCAACAATCGTACACTGGAAACGCATATTCGCGTACATACTGGTGAAAGGCCATTCAAGTGCCAGTATTGCGAGAAATCATTCTCACAGCGAGGTAATCTGATAAATCACACAAGGATACATTCAAATCCACGTAGCTACACATGCGAAGTCTGTGGCAAAAGGTATTTGCAATTTGATATAAACTTGAAAGAAGTATATATATACTTCTATTAATATTAAAATATTAAGTATAAATCTTTCCTTTATTTTTTGAGAGAAGCAAATTGACAAGATATAAATTATATTTAAACCATAATTTAAAGAAAATATATAATTAAGTTTGACATTAAAGGATCTATTCTTTATAAAGGAAAATTTGACAAAATATAATTTAAATAGAATAACAAAAATGTATTATTTATTGAATGACATGTTTATTATATTTTAAATAATTTAACCATTTAATATTGTGTGTATACAAATTCTTATTTAAAAAATTGAGGAAGGTGGAACATAATGTAATGTTAATATTTTTTGCATGATTGTAGCTTTAATCAACGTGCTACATTAAGAGATCATGGACTGTTACATACGGGCGAGAAGCCTCATGTGTGTAACGTTTGTGGCAAGGCGTTTACAGTTAGTGCGGCATTGAGAAGACATATGTTCAATCACGCGGAAAACAAGCCATTCAAATGCGAAACTTGTAATATGGGATTCGTCGGGAAATATGATCTACGACGACATATGAGGGTGCATGAGGATCGGCCTAAGGAGAAACGGAGAAGAAACACTATGTCAAAGTCAAGCGATTTAGTCCAACAAGAATCGGAGGAAAGTCTTGCTGTAATAGAGGAACCGGGTACTGAAACTGTACTTATAGAACAAGTGTTTTTACCTCAAAATGTTACGCAAATAGTGGTAAATCAAGTTGAATCAGAGAAAGAAAATGAAGACGCATTGTTCAATCTTCACTGTTACAATTCAACTCTTATACAATATAGCTAATAATATGCATAATAGATTATAGACTATACAGGATGAGTAATTTAAATAAAATGAGATATTTTTATTTTGAATAACTAAAATATATACATTGTATAAAAGAAGTTTTATACAAAAGTTATAAAATCTTGATATTTTTTTATGGAGAATGATGAGAAGAATTGATATATGTAAAAAAATTCTATGATACCATTTAAAGAGGCAAAAATAATCTTTCTTGGCATAAATCTGGGCAGCGTTTAGCATTTTTAATGTGCTGACTAGAATTACCCGCCCCCCCCTCCCCCCTCCCCCATAGCTTCCATAAAATATTTTTTTATACAATACATACTTTAAAGTTATTCGAGATAAAAATATAGAAACAGTGATATATCCTGTATAATAAGAATTGCTATTAATAACTATTCTTGTTTCATTTTTGTATACATATGTACAGACAGCCATTTCCCTTCCTTCTTAAAGTCAACTTACCTGTTGTAGCAGTGGAATTAACGTATCTTTATTAAGATGTTTCTTTTAATTATATTTATTTTTTACCTGGAAATTATAAATAGTTAGTGCATATACATATAAATATATGTATACTATACATAAATATGTATATTAAATACATAAAAGAGTACATTGCATTTTGGAAATTATAAAGATTTTTGCATTTCTGCAAATCTTTAAAAAAAGTTAGAAATAATTGTACAATATTTTACAAATCCTATGTGTTACTCCTACAAATCAAATGATAAATTTTTTAAAATAATTTTTGCTTAAAAATAGTGTGGTATAAGAATATTGTTATTGTATACAAAAATGTAATTATTATTTTCAGAATAATTGGAAACGCGCGTGTGTTTTATATTTCTTAGAAAATTTTTGAAATACTCTACAATTTCAAAGATTTTTAAAATTTTACATATTCATTCAGTTGTATGAATAAACAATCGTGACATTAATAAATTTATGATATAGAAAACAACATTTATTGTGAAAATATTTGATATTTTGCAATTTAATTCAAAAAAAAAAAAAAAATTGTTTTACTTGTTTAGATAAATTCCTTAGAGGAATAAAGAAATAATATTATGACTTATTAAAATTAGATAATTACATCATTAATATATATAAAATTGCATTTTAATGCTTCTTTGTTGCAATAATGCATGCTTCATATTCATGTTTATATTTTTGCAAAAATTTAATGTATTGTACGAAGAAGAAGAAATAATATTTTGATTGTATAAAATAATTGGATGGCTATAAAAATCACTTTCTCGGGTAATGATAAATCACGAAAAAATTTTATATAAGAGATAATGAACACAAATGTTTAAAACATATACGCACGAAAATTTACACTTCTAAAAAAATAATGTATAATAATATATTGTGTAAGAATATACTATCTTGCTTATATGAGGCGATAACAGATTAATTAATGACTTTTAATCATTTTCACACAAAATTACATTTGTGTTATACAAACAATATTTAAAAATTTTACATTTTTTAAAAATATATAATTGCGATTTTTCAATTTTATGGATAATAGGTTGTATAGATTATCGATTATAAAGAAAGGTATTTCTGTTCTTTGATCACAGATAGCACCACAAATGCTATTTCACTACTAAAAGACTAGGACTAGATAGTTTTTAGGACGAAAATATTGTGTATGGATGATAACAAGAAAAGTTTGTTTACTTTATATTATTATAGTTTTGAGATGGGGATTGTAAATAAAAATTGCTTTCCGCAATTATTTAAATAGATGGAATGCCATGAAAGTTGATAAATATACAGTTACAATACTTATTAAGTGTAAGTATTGTGATTTAGTTCGTGTTTTTAACAATAATTTGTTCATTCTTTATGTATGTCTCAAATATTATTTATCTTTTATAACCAATTGAATAAGTAACATAATAATTTTTAAATTTTCCACCAGATGACGCGATCAGTCTATGAAAATGTGCAGAAAGACTTTTTGGCTTTTTTGGTATACGAGACTGATAGTATAGTGTTTATACACATGATACATTTCGCCTATGTTAATTAATAGCTATTATTAATGGCTCAAGTGTTATTGCGGTTAGTTTGCAGGTAGATTTTCGGCAATTATTATATCATAAACAGTAGACAGTTTCGAAATCTGATCCTGAAACCGTACATGAATTTATTAGTTAGTAATACTAGACAATAATTCAATTAATTAATTTTCGGTTTATTAGTGTGCATACGGAAAGCTCGAATAGATTTCAAATATATACACATATTATTGTATAAACTGAATAATTCTTTAAAAAATTTATTTGTTGTATTGATTTTAAGCATTAATTAATTTTAAGTTAATTGTTTTTGATAATTTTTTAACGTCAGACAAAAAGTATCTCATATATCAACTTTTACTTCGAAATCTCTGTAGTATAATATTAGAAAACTGATTGCTCGAATTAATGTTATTCTAATTTATGAAAACGAAATAGTTTTTCGTGAAATTTCTACAATACATGATTTAATGCATCTTGAAATTAATTCTATTTTCTATTTCTTTTACAAACATATTGTTTATGCAGTAATTGTATTTTAAGCAGTACATTCTTCGTTTCAATCTAAGCTAGAATTGTATCTTGTATATTGAAATTTTGAAATACACTCATAGATTTTACGAAAATCTAGCAAAAAGATATGCTTTCTACTACAAAAAAACTAATGTTTTATGTAACATATGTGCACAGCGCTTTCTATTCATACATGAGAATCTGAGCCAAACATATGTATAAGTGGAATATGGATAATCGTGTAATATGTTTCATTGAATTTTTGCCACATGTATATTTCAGTTCCTAGAAAGCAAGCAAATGAGAAGAAACGAGGAAATATGAATCGAGAATGACTCGTCGATTGACACGTCGCAGAGTGCGTTGTTAAAACGTCAAATCGGAAGGAATGAAAGTTACAAGAGCCGAACGCAACGAGAATGCTGCTGGCTGCGCGTCCCGTGCGCGATTGAGCCTCCTGAAGAGAGTCGCGCGTGGTTGCGCAGCGTGCGACTGCGCAGGTCACGCGTGCGCGTCATCGAGTAGCCGGCAGTCACTACGGTGGCGCCAGTCATGGCGGCGAAAACACACGCGCACGCTGTTACCACCGCCGCCGCCGCCGCCGGTCGGTGCCTCCACGCCTCTACCTCCTCGCCTCCGCCACCGCCACCGCCACCGATCTCGCGACTCGTGGGTAAGTACCCTCACACTCCACGCTCCAATCAGTCTGCACTCGCATGTCCACGAGGTTGCTCGCACGGGCCAGGCGGCATCCTCTCTCTCCCTCTCTTTCGCTTCGCCCGCTCGTATTCCCTGTTCTGTCATTCTCTGTCTCTCTTTTGCCCCCTCTCTTTCTCTCTCTCTCTCTCTTTCATTCACCTGACTCTTAACGCGAGCAGTGCGTTACACATCCCGTACGGGGGTGATACCGATCGCCAGTCGAGGTACTGGTCGCGGACACCACAGCCGCGGTTGAGGTTAGGTCGACGGACCTGTCGATCGTAGTGGCGGGACGCGGCGCGGCGGATTTGAATTTTCGAACGCGGCTATCCGCGCCGTAATTTTGCCGGGTGTCCGCACATCGATTTCGTGATCGAACGATCGCGGACGACGATCTCTTGCCAAGAGGACGGATCATCGTTTGCCTGTCAGACGGTTGCGCGGGTTTTTGTGACCATCGTCGTTTACGTTTGACAGACGTTGCGCACGCCTGCGGCTTAGGTGGAGCGACATTAGGCGGACCGCGCGTTTTTCGAAACAGCGGGATTGTTTGGGAGGATGATGCACCGCGAGTTTTTATTGCCGCCTTCGTTGATGCTGTTGATGTTATCGTTACTGAAGTTGTCGCATTCGCGTCTCGTGGAAACGCGCAGCGACGGAGACGAGCAGCGGGCCCTGTGAGCTTCTGTGAATGTTCTCGGACAGCCGCTCGCCGCGGCTAGTCGCGCACCAGTTTCTCAGTGCACACGAGGAAAACGTACGCGCACTGGTGATCAGCATATCTTTTTTGCGTTTGGAATCGTCGCACGATCTCGCGTGTCATCGTGTCCGCGTTGCGTTGCGTCGCGTCGCGTCGCGTCGCGTCGCGTTGCGTTGCATTGCGTTGCGTTGCTCGGTCAATGAGAATGTCGTGGTCTGAATTTGCAATAAACATCGCTCCAAAAAAAGTGGATGCTGTTCACCTGATTATTCAAAGTTTTATGTACTCATTTTGGAATACAAATATCGTGGCGAAAGTGTCGCGTATTCATAGTGATGAGAATATTGTCGATTGTTTAAATTTTTATATAAAAGAAATGGATTTTGTTACATAAAATTTCATATATGTGCTTTGATGTAGAACGTTATAACGAAAATGATCCGAAGTAACTGCGATGAGGATGTTGCCGGTTGAATAAAAACATGTTATATAAAAACATTGTTCTAAGTATCTATTTGTACGCGCTACATCGTTCAAATTTTCATAATCGATTAAATTAATTTCTCTCTTGACGTTAGATATACTTGTTAAATTGACAGCCACCAATCAGCGATTAATGAACGATTGACAGAAGACATGTATTTGTGCTGCAAAGTACGTTAGTAAAATTTTGTAATCATATATATTATTGATCTTCCACTGTGTACATTTCAATATAACGGTTTGATGTCAGAAATGTATAAATATACAGCAAACGTTATAACGCAATATGTTTTGTAAATCAAAAGAGAATATATAATCAGAAATACGAAAGTTAATAGAAGTATTACATAAGCACGTTTCTCAATACTCGCAGGAGATAAAAGGATTTACGCGAAATCTGTTTGACTAAAATAACATTTTCAATTAGTTATCGATTCGATTATCTTTATTATATTACGCGTAAAGTGATAAGGTGCTGGATATTAATTCATTATTTACATACTTTTAATACTTTGACATGCAATATTGCTAATAGATTGTTAAAGTTAGTATTCACAATATATTTTAATTTTAAATCTTGCACACAATAAAAATAAATCGATAAAAACAATTAAAGAATTAATGTCTTTTGTCATTCGTACACGTATCTGAACTCGATTGCTGGCCTGAAAATGAGAATTTACGTATACAGTCTTGCTGACATATTCACCGTTTATCATTTACTGCTGTTTGTCGTACGCGGTCTTTTCAATCGGCGAACAATCACTTGATCGCACGCCACAAAAGAGAAGGTGGTCTGGCATCGATCGCAATTACTCGGGGATCGAATTCGATAGCTTTCTGATTGAAAGGTTAGAAGTAGCAGAAATTGTTGGCGGGTCGACACCCGATCCAACACCGGTGATTAATTGACAATCGCGATAATTAATGATACACACGGTATACTGCGATCTCATGCCACGACACACTG